TTAAATTATTATTTTTTTTTTAAATTCAAAACTTTAAATAAAAAATTTCATTAGTTCTAATAGAAAATAGCAACTAAAATTATTTGTATAAATCTAATGAATATGGGCAATAGAAATAAATTATCAAAAATAAAAAAAAAATTAATGGGGAATAAACGGAGAAAGGACCCATCCCCTCCTCGCCTTAAACGGGTAGCGGGGTGGGGAATTTCTTAGCGGGGTGGCCCCGCCTCGCCCCACCCCGTTGTCATCCCTAATAACTATGTCATTTTGCAGCCTGACATTATGTTGGGAATTTACTTAATCATGCACAACGGGAAATAAATTATTTTTCAATTTTCACCACAAATCTGCTTTGTGTTTAGATAGAAACTGTGTTTAGAATAATATATTTGATGAATTTTGCAAATTCTCGAACTCGAATGATCATGATCTACAATCCAAGCTGTCCAATTGTCCAGCCTCTAACGATGATCCACACAGAGAACAAGAATGACGACTGGAATTTTCTTTTATTGTGGTAGCAAGAATAATGAATTATTTCATACAGTTTTTCAAACTCTCGCAGCATATTAATATAAGTCCAAGCGGGCTTAGCCCGTCTCTTAAACTTAACCCGGTCCAATGTTTAATTAATTAAATCTGGTCCATGAATTAATTAATCCAATTAATTAATTCGAACATATTAATAAGCAACTCAATTAATTAATTACCAAATACTTGTCAATTAATTAATTGGTAAATCTCATTCTTCTGGTTCTCTTTTGTGTGTGACTCATTAGGTTCCGATCACGATGTCTAACGACATGAAATATTATTTTGATCTAATTAAAATTGATAAATTAAAATACATTTAATTTATCATCAATTCACATCCGTCGTCCCAAATTAACATCTAGCAAATGTGTCAAGACAATACATGTGACGGGAAATGTCACGTGGTATGACAAAATCAAACTTGTTTGTTTACCGTAAAACTATAATCATTTCATCAATATGATCAGATCAATTATGAGATATGGATATGTGTTAATCTCAATTATCGATCATATCTTTTATCCCACTGTTAAGACAATGTAAGTCGAAAACTCATTTTCGACTTATGAGTTCACATTGGCCAAGGATTTCATTATCAACTTAACTGGATAAAATGTAGATCATAATCTCTTACTATCTAAGAGTGATAAATCATCTATTGATCATTCACAACCTTCATATGATTTCTGACATACCCGAACGATGCTGTATTAGCGACCCTTGATAGAGCAACATCTAATATTACCAAAGTATGACTGTCTTCATATAAGGCACTATGATGGCGGATGGCCTCAAGTCAAATGACAAATTCTATTACCGAATGTTAGAGATTAACCACTGACACTCAGATAATTATCCATATGGAATCTCCCAGTGGGTTCAATGTTTTGTTCTATAACAAAATATCAACGTGTTCATTCAAATACCACCACACTTTAACTTGTGAGACCGGCTACTTATTTCACAAGTAAGAAATGTCACACGTGATGGTCTATTCGTAATAATGATATTTCGTATCTCGTTATTACAGACGATTTAAGATTCAATCATATGTAATTTGTATCTCACAATCACAACTCCATGTAATTAACAAATCACTAAGACTTGAATCTACGGATGCTATTATTTGATTTATTAGAATATTAATTCAATTNATCTACGGATTCTATTATTTAATTAAATTAATATTCTAATAAATTAAATAATATATATTGTCATAAATACGCATCACTTATATATATTAAAAGTGTTTATGTCCAAAATTGATTGGACCTAAGGTATAATACTTACACATTACTACTCCAAGACTGAATATATTAGCAGCATGGAGGGAAGCATCTTCTCCCTTAAAAGTGCCTTCTGATCATCGTCATGTCAAGTACACCATTAAATCTGGAACATCCATGTCTTGCCCTCATGTTGTAGTTGTAGCTGCAATTCTTAAGGACATACATCCCGATTGGTTCAGTGAAGCAATACGATCTGCTCTTACAACCATAGGTGTACTTCTTATCCTTCATTGTCTAGTTTCAGACACATCGCCATGCGTAATACCTTTCTGTTTATTGATACTTTTCGCTTATTTAGCAAAATTAAACAACAACATGGGCACACCAATAACAGACTCGGACAAAAAAATAGCAAATCCATTTCAGTTCGGTGCAAGCCACATTCAGCCTTCAAAAACAGCTGATCCTGGACTTGTTTATAATGCTTCTTATGATGACTATCTTCTCTTCCTCTGTCGTAACAACAACAATTTGCTCGTTCCATCTTTCAAATGCCCCAATGTTATTCCTTCACCAAGTAATCTCAATTATCCATCGCTAGTGATTTGTAAGCTTAAAGGATCCACAACTGTCACTCGAACCGTTACAAATGTACAATAAAAAAACCCTCCGGGTTACTTGATAGAGATCTCTCCATCCACGTTACACTTTAGCTCTGAAGGGGAAAAGCATAGCTTCAACATAGCAGTTTTAGTGGAGAGTTCTACGCGGAAAAATGAGTATGCATTTGGTTGGTATAGTTGGATCGATGGGATTCATGAAGTAAGAAGTCCTATTGCATTATCCTCAGAGTAAATACCTCAAGGCATAGCATGTTTGGTAGTTGAACAATAAAATATTGTACGATATTAAGAAAGAAAAATAAATAAAATCTTGTTCATTATACTGGCTTGTCTAATATTGGGTGTCAAACATGTCATAAAAGAATTAGACATAGTCCTTAATCAATAAATATTGTGCGTGAATTCTCCATTGTGTTTTGCTTCATGCCTATAATAAAGTTATTATTTATGTATTATATGCTTGTCTTGCACGTTCCAATAAGTATGGAATTGAGAAAAAGTACTTTCTGATTTTAAGTAAGCGATAATCTCACGTGATAGTACAATCATTTCTGGTACTTAAAGTTATTGGAACAAAACCCTGAGGGGTTGCTCAATTGGTCAGGCATTGGGTTTGCTCCCCAATAATCACCAGTTCGAGTCCGCTCAAAGCCACTGAGGTGAATACCCTACCGTAAACTTCAGGGTCATGTGGAATTAGTCAAGGTGCGCGTAAGCCGGCCCGAACATCCACGGTTATCAAAAAAATAATAATAAAAAAAAAGTTATCGGAACATCTTGACTGAAAATTTTGCCAAGAAAGTTTTACCATTATAGTTTGAAAGTGACAGTTTAAATTTGATGAACAATGTTATTTGTAAGTTGTCCACGTGGCAGTTAGATCACTTTCATATTCTCCAATAAAGTTCCAACGCATTTTAATTGAAAATTTTGACAGTAACCAAACTATCACACAAACGGTTGTTTGTGAGTACGGCTTATAAAATGACATTACTCAAACCTAATTAATTGTTAATAATAAACCAAGACTTGACAGGAAGGTCCAAGCCCATACCTAGGTTAGGCCCAAGCCCATTTCCAGGCCCATGTTAATGTTTATAAAGTACTCTTCGTCTTGCAACTTGGAATATTGGAGAAAAAATTTAATTCTCGTAGAGTAGAGTATGAAACTCAATAATTCATGTCACTATATAATTGATATATATATATATATTAAAGAAAAATGAGTTAAAATAAAAGATAAAAAAAAATAATAAATATTTTTTAGTAGCAGTAAAAATTAAGTGTTTAATAGATATATATATATATATATATATATATGACAAGGTCCTAATTAAATATTGTATCCGAGTTATTTAATATACATTTCAATTTAATAGTGACAGAGAGAGTACTGAATACTCTACTGTGGGGAGTACTGAAATTTCTTTCAAATATACGATATCGTATTGCCACCACATTTTCATATTCAAACTTGTGGTTAGTAATTGATTTACTTGGAACTTAATTTCTCGTTTGTAATCTTCAATTTTACTTGTTATGTATTTAGCATGAGTGGTGGATAAGTGAATACTACTTGTGTGTTTATTGAAATGTATGATTAAAAATGAAGTTTGATTATTTATAAATTTGCCAAATGAAGATTGTATTTTTCTCCAAGGAAAGAAATTAAATAAAGAAATAACATGAAAAGAAGTTGTTTATTTATGTCTTAGGTAACCAACAATAGTGGATAAGATGGCAGTTATAATCATTAGAAAAAGTTCCGTATGAAATTTAAGTACGTATATAAATTAAGTAAATTAACCAAAGGGAAAATTGCAGTCACGGTATCAAATTTTTCAACTTTTTGCAAACTTTGCTCAAACATTTGTTTTGTGCCACCCACGGTACCAAACTTTTAAACATTTCGCACCCGGAGTCCAAATGGACGGTTTCCGTCCAATTGACCGTTAGTTGACTAATAATTAAAGTCTGACAAATTGTTGACCAATTTTTAAAGGGTAAATATGTAACTTTACATTTTTCCTATGAAAAAAATTAAAAGAAAAGAATTAAATTAAAAAAAACCATTTATTGTTCATATTCTTCCACCCCCTCCCTTTCGATCACCAGAATGTCTTTCCTGATGAAAATTCAACCAGTTGATTTCAACGTCCAAACTGAACCACCTATACCAGGAAAAGGCTGCCGACAACAGAGGCGCTGATGAGCCTCATCACGGTAACACGAATGGTCAATTGGCTGGTTAATTTGTTCAATTGATGGATTACTGACGGTATTATGGGCCTCAATTGAATATTGTTGGGTAGAATCCATCATTTGAAATGCATTTAGTCCATCAATTGACTGATTGCATATTCTCGCAGAAACCGTTCGTGAGTGGAAAAATTATTCTGGACATCGATGTGTAGGATCGGTTTTGATGAATCAAGCCTATGAAATTGGTCGCCTTGGTGAGGAGATTTAGCTGGCGGTGGTTTGCGATCGTGGGTGTCACCAGAGTGGTATGAATCTGGATGGAGGTCGTGCGTTGCTTGCGTTTTGAAGCCAGGTTTTTGTCTGATTTGATTGTTGTTTGGGCTGATGCTTGTAATGGATTTGGGAAATGGGCCGGTGGTGACGGGATGGTGATCGTGGTCACGACTGGATCGATGGTGGCTGGATAGTGGTTGATTTTCTGTGGCGTGGGTGGGGTGGTATGAATCGAGGTGGAGGTCGTGCGTTGCTTGCGTTTTGAAACCAGTTTTTTGTCTGATTTGGTCATTGTTTGGGCTGACGCTTGTAATGGATTTGGGAAATGGGCTGGTGGTGACGGGATGGTGGTCGTGGTCGCGACGGGACCGATGGTGGCTGGATGGTGGTTGATTTTCTGTGGGGTGGGTGGGTGATGAAAAGTTTTTCTTTTTTTTTATTATTATTATTTTTGGGATTTTTAATTTTTTTAATTTATTTTTTTTTTTATTTTTTATTTTTTTTTGTCTTTTTTTTTTTTATTTTTTTTAGTTTGATTTTTTTTTTTTTATTTTTTTGGGTTTTTTATTTTTTTTTTTTTTTTTTACTTATTTGGTGGAAATTATGTGTAATTTCGAAATTGCCCTTGTACATTTGGTAAAAATTATAATTTTTTTTTAAATTTCTAAGGTGAACTAACAATTTTGGTGGTCAACTGGACGAAAACCGTCCATTTGGACTCCGGTTGCTAAATGTTTAAAGGTTTGGTACCGTGGATGGCACAAAACAAAGGTTTGGGCAAAGTCTGTAAAAAGTTGAAAAGTTTGATACCGTGGCTGCAATTTTCCCTTAACCAAATCCCTATAATTCTAGAATCTTGTTGAACATGCATAAATGCCTATGGCCAATGTAATCATCTACTTCAAAAAAAAAAAAAATCTTGATAATATTTACCGTTCATCTTGGAAGTGATGAGTATTTTACGTGTTAAACACCAAATACAAGTATTATAGTACTCAATTAAAGAAAATTAAGTGGATGAGGTTAAGGTCATTATCCTCAATGGAATATATTATAAATGTCCACTAAGATTAATGCAAAAATGGGTAAACTGCAAGAAGAAAATGACTACCAAGCTTTGTTTGTCACTTTCTTCAAAAGGAAAATAAATCAAGTTATACTCATCGAGTGTTGCACGTTTATATATTAGATTAAACTAGTAAGTTACGGTTTAATTTTGAGATGGTCCGATCATCCTAAGCTTGACACGACCATGTTTTACCTTGTTCGTTTTAAATTATATAGAACTGACACGGTCTAAAATGGATAAGATCGTGCTTAATATGTGAGTATGTATTCTTATATTACATATTTTGTATCGGAATATATTCAGCCCTATTAATCTGTGTGGCCAATCTGCACGTTTGATATCTTCATAAAGTTTATGAGAGTCACGTTTAAAAATAAGTAATCGATTTATTTCGAACTTTGATTAATAAATAATAGGGATAATTGCAGCAAAAGTCTCAAACCTTTTAAACACTAACAAGCTTTCCTCAAACTTTTGATTTGTTGCAACCGTCACCTCTAATCTTTTCAAATATTATAGGTGAGGCATTTTTGGATGGTTTTCGTAAAAAAAAAAAAAAAAATACTGTTAATTGACCTAAAAAATTAAGTCCAGCCATTTTTGATCAATTAAATGAGGGTAAAATGATAACTTTACCGTATTACCAATATAAAATATAATTAAAAAAATCAAAAAAGGAAAAGGAAACTAATGTTTGTCTTCCCCCAAAACTCCCCACCCCTCATAAATTTTGTCTGAATTTGGTTCTTTGTGAGCAAGCAGCCTGGTTTGGCATTTTGGTGATACTTGGAGTTAGGTTTTGGACTACATACTCTTGATGTTGATACCAACATGATTATCATTAATATCTCCGCACTCAAAATCTTGAACAGTGTCGAATTCAACTGCAAACAGATGGTTTGAATAATTTCCCATATCGCTTGAGTTGAGCAGGCCCAGATACTGACTGGGAAGAGCTGATTTGAAATTCTGGACGGCGAACTAGTGAAGGCGAGACCATGGCCGTATTATTATTATTATTATTGTATTTTAATTGGATTGAATGACACAAAACATGAAGAACGCGAAGAACAAAGAGGAAGACTCGAACAAAAAAAAAATTAAATTATATAACCTTGATTTTTGGAGCTAACTTTGATACCAACCGATGCGAACTCACGTAGCAATTATAGTTACGAAACCCATAACAAATTAAATCAAGTCCAAGAAAGCCAAGAATCAATGTTAAAAGAAAACTCGACCCAATAAATTATTGAACCAAGATAATTGCAATAATATCTTGACCCCGTGATCACAAAATCTATGAATCTTACTTGAATTGTTTAACACGACAATAATTTAATTCTTGATAAATTTGGAATTAATTTGATGAAGAATGATAAGAAAGCAACACGCCTTGCAATAATATTTTTCAAATTGTGTGTTTTACAATGTATGGAAAGAATTATATTTATATGGAACCCATAAAACCTAGCTAAAAATGGAATTACACATAAAAAAATATAAAAAAGATACCATAAAAGAGTATTATCTAAAATAGAAGTCTAAATAAAATTTGGAAACCCCCCCCCCCCTTCCTCGGTTCAGAAATTGTATTATACAACCGCATAGTGAAACTGCATGTGGTTGCATAGGCCACTTCGACTGCCTTCAGTTTGGTTTGGTATGGATGTATGTGGCCGCATGCATAGGTATGCTATGCGGTCACATAGCTTTGCCATTCAGCTCCCTCGCATGTTGTTTACACCAAGTTGATTCATTTTGTTTCTTCTTCCTAGCCCAACATGAAACTTGTTCATTTAGTTGTTGTGATCGATGTTTCGTCTATTGTAGTTTGAACAAGCAATCACATAGCTTCCTTGACCTTCTTTCCCCATGACCTCATCATTGGTCCTCCCTCCATGATCAACAGATCCTTATCCTCGCTAGCTATCGTACCATGGTTCTCATCACCTTCATTGGCACAAAGCCGGCACCATTCATGTCTCTTTACACCTCAATATGGCCAAATCTTATTGAGTTCAACATTCTAAAGGTACTTCTAATTTCACTCTATTTATTACTGTTCTCATAAGAACTGTCCATAACAGATACATATGCATAAAACTATGCCCTTTTGCAGCCTCACACTACTGCTCCAAAATAATAAATCAAGACTTGACAGGAAGGTCCAAGCCCATACCTAGGTTAGGCCCAAGCCCATTTCCGGGCCCATGTTAATGTTCATAAAGTACTCTTCGTCTTGCAACTTAGAATATTGGAGAAAAATTTTAATTCCCCTAGAGTAAGAAACTCAATCATTCATGTCATTATTTAAATAGTGTATCCGAGTTATTTAATATAGATGTCAATTTAATAGTGACAGAGAGAGTACTGAATACTCTACCATTGGGAGTACTAAAATTTATTTCAAATATACGATATCATATTGCCACCACATTTTCCTATTCAAATTTGTCGTTAGTAATTGATTTGCTTGGAACTTAATTTCTCGATCGTAAACTTCAATTTTACTCGTTATGTATTTAGCATGAGTCGTGGATAAGTAAATACTACTTGTATGTTTATTAAAATGTATGATTAAAAATGAAATTTGATTATTTATAAATTTTGCCAAATGAAGACGGTATTTTTCTCCAAGGAAAAGAAATTAAATAAAGAAATAACATGAAAAGAAGTTTATTTATGTCTTAGGTAACCAACAATAGTGGATAAGATGGCAGTTATAATCATTAGAAAAAGTTCCTTATGAAATTTACGTACGTATATAAATTATGTAAATTAACCAAATCCCTATAATTCTAGAATCTTGTTGAACATGCTTAAATGCCTATGGCCCATGTAATCATCTACTTTTAAAAAAAAAATCTTGATAATTGATGATAATATTTTTGATATACCTCGAGCACGACGACTGGCATGGGTCCCACCTCCTCTTTTTGGGGTTCCTGGTCCTCGAGCTCGAGGATGACCATCTCCCGAATAGCCTCGAAAGTCTCGTTAATAGTCCTCGAGATACATACATGCTCGAGATATTTACTTGACTTCTCTCAAAAAGCTCCGTGATCACGCGTCACCAATCCACCTCCATGAAAGTGTCCTAATTCTACCCAGTTACTGTTTCTCAAGAGTTTTAAGTGAGGAAGGAGTCTATCAATGCTAGAATTGCGGGAAGAATAGGAGACGTCTATTCAACACGTGTCCCAACAATAAAGCCTGAAATCAAGGTGATGTGTCCTACTACAACTCTCTTACTTTCCCCTATAAATACAGCACTCCCATCCATCATTCAGGTACGTTTTTACAGATATTTTCAGCGTATATTCTCTAAAATCCCTTCTCTGACTTAAGCATCGGAGGGGCGACGAGGACCTATCTCGACACCTTTGTTTCAGGTACCGGAAGAAGATCAAGACTGTCCTCGCTTATAGTCGTCAAGCTCGGAATATTCCAGGTGCGAATTTTTGGTAGCATCAATAATATTTACCGTTCATCTTGGAAGTAATGAGTATTTTACGTGTTAAACACCAAATACAAGTATTATAGTACTCAATTAAAGAAAACCAAGTGGATGAGGTTAAGGTCATTATCCTCAATGGAATATATTATAAATGTCCACTAAGATTAATGCAAAAATGGGTAAACTGCAAGAAGAAAATGACCACCAAGCTTTGTTTGTCACTTTCTTCAAAAGGAAAATAAGTCAAGTTATACTCATCGAGTGTTGCACGTTTATATATTAGATTAAACTAGTAAGTTACGGTTTAATTTTGAGATGGTCCGACCATTTTAAGCTTGACACGACTATGTTTTATCTTGTTCGTTTAAATTATATAGAACTGTTACGGCCTAAAATGGATAAGATCGTGCTTAATATGTGAGTATGTATTCTTATATTACATATTTTGTTTCGGAATATGCCAATCTGCACGTTTGATAATAAGAGTCACGTTTAAAAATTATTAATCGATTTATTTCGAACTTTGATTAATAAATAATAAGGATAATTGCAGCAAAAGTCTCAAACCTTTGAAACACTAGCAAACTTTCCTCAAACTTTTCATTTGTTGCAATCGTCATCTCTAATCTTTTCAAACATTATAGGTGAGGCATTTTTGGATGGTTTTCGTAAAAAAAAGGAAAAGGAAACTAATATCTCCCATATCGCTTGAGTTGAGCAGGCCCAGATACTGACTGGGAAGAACTGATTTGAAATTCTGGGACGGCGGACTAGTGAAGGCGAGACCATGGCCGCCGAGTTTCGGATACTCCGGAACAATAACAGAAGCGAAACATGTGGAGGAGGAGAAGGCAGTACGATTAGTTGATTTCTTGAATTGAAGTGGTGAAGGAAAAAAATGAGTGTCCCATTAATCTACTGGTTTCATTGGTTAATTGAAGAATTCCATTTTGGGGGGTTTTGGGAGAAGATAAACAATACTTTTCTTTTCCATTTTCTTTTCCTTTTTTTATTTTTTTTATTTTTTGAATTATATTTTATATAGTAATATTATAAAGTTACAATTTTATCATCATTTAATTGGTCAAAAATGATCAGACTTTAATTTTTGGATCAACTGACGGCATTTTTTAAAGAAACCATCCAAAAGAGCATCACCTACAACATTGAAAAGATTAGAAGTGACGGCTGCAACAAATCAAATGTTTGAGAAAAATCTGCTAGTATTTCAATTGTTTGGAGCTTTTACTGCAATTATTCCTAAAAAAATATCTTAAACTGTTTAATTACTTGTAACTAAACTTGCTTGAAACTAAACGTGGACCTGATTTTGTTTTCTTGAATCCTAATTGGAAACTTAAACAGTTGAACTTGTTTTAAACGGCGGGGGCCGCGTGGCAGAGAATAATTCAGATGCCTGTCTTTATGGAGCGTGCGATTTAACAAATGCAAATGTGTCAATTTATAAGTGGCTTGTCGTTTTTCGAATTATTTTATTTTATTTTTTGGAGTTACTTGTATATCTATGACTCGGCGGACCTCGCAATAGGGGAACTCTTTGAGGCGGAATATGAGCCGTCAGATTTGCTGATATCTATTAATTTGCCAGAATACAGCTTTTGAAGCTTGAGGTACACTCAAAAATGGATTTGGATCGGCTGGGCTTGATTTTTTAGAATAAAATACTGAATTTTTATCATAAAAGTGGGCCCATTTAGTTTGGAGGGGTCCATTCAGTTTGTCCTTTTATGGTAAAGGTGGTCTTCTTTTCAACTTCTTTTGAGTAGCGACCTATTCTTTTTTTTAAAAGATTGTGAAGTTTTTTTTTTTCATTATTTTTTTTTTCATTTTTTAATTAACGTCTTTTCTTTTATCTCCTTGTGGACCCTTGGGTTGCAAAGGTATTTTTAATTTAAATTTTGTTTAGAGAGAAGAGATTTTGTTAATCTATAAATAAGATTTCAATACGTTATAAATTTTGTCAATAAAAAAAGGAGAGAGAGAAATTTTGCATGAATTTAAAAGCATACACCAAAATGACATCTAAATTTTACAATGTTAAGGGTCTATTTGGACCAGATTTTAATTTAAGTCAAAGTCGAACAATCAATATCAACCACATCTTTCAAGAGTCTCACATCTTTTCAACCACATATTTCTAAAACTTCTATCACAATTCACTTAAAATCTGATTTTAATCTACACCAGACACCCTCTAAATATCTAGTCCCAAACTTTATAATGTTTATCATGTTAATTCTTGAAAACAATTTTGTCCACATAAGTAATATTGATTTATCATATCGTATGCTTAAATTGCTTTACCTTGAAATAGATTTCAGTACATGATTATGTCACATAAACATACCTATATCATAAGTATGATAAATCATTCTCGTATTTCGTTTGAATTTCAAAGATTATCAGAGTAAATATTATAAAGTTCACTAGACCACCTATTAAAATTTAAAGAATATTATTTTTAATCTTAAACTAATCGAAGCTAAAGACCAAAGAATCAAATCATGAGCCGTAAGGCACAAGTAATTACAGCGTTTAGTCTTTGGAAAGCTTATTGTGGAGTTACTTCTACAGTGAGAAAACACATAAAACGTAGACACAGAAGGCTGGGTCCGCACTCAACGCCCTTTACAATGACGCCACTTCACCACCCTCAATCAAGCTCTCTTCCCCTAATCAATCATTTTTCCCCTCTCTATAAATTTCCCTCTCTCTCCCAATTCCTCAATACCCTTTTACTTTGTATTTTTCTCCCGTTTTTCCATGGCAGAAGAATTTCAAGAATCTGAAGTTATTTTTCAAGAAAATGCAGGAGATGAAGAAGACAACGAGAAGTACAATTTTCCGGGAAGAAACATGAAAGCCAAGAGGAAGAAATTCAAGAAGAATTCAGTTCCGGTAAATATCCCAGAAAATATAACTGGGAGTTCATGGACGGTTCAGTATGTAGATTCGGAAATTTTCGACGATGAAAACGACGGTGGAGAAATGGTGCCACCCCATGTTATCGTTGGCCGGCGGGTCGACGAAAAAATGATGGCGTTCTCCGTCTGCACCGGAAATGGAAGGACTCTTAAAGGGAGAGATTTGAGTGAAGTCAGGAATTCAATTCTCAAAATGACTGGATTTCTTGAAACATAACCCAGAAAACGAAACTAATATTTTCAAGCCATTCTCAAATTCCTTTAGATTTCTGGCTTATTTGATAAGCTGAATAAGACAAGAATTGACGATGTTAAGAAAATGAAAAACTCAAAAATTTTATGTAGTGTTCATTGCAAGTTATAGTATTCTCTTAAATCTTATTCAAGTCGACCACATCGAATATGTCGTTAGTTCTTATCAGAAATGTAAAAATTATTTCCCTCTTCAGCAAAAGAAATGAAGATATAGAATTTGATAAATTAATGGGTTGTTATTTAAATTTTGTATTTAAAAAAATTATATGTTCTTGTTTGATTATTTTGTAGTTAGATTGGTATACATATCACGTTGTAGCATACGAAATTCCAGGTTGTTGGATTAGGTTTCTGTTATGCTTTGCTGTGTTTGCATTTAGTCCAGTTATTACACACTGTTTCCGTTTTCTTAAGAAGTTGCTGGTCCTGACATACCCCAACATCCACATGGTTCCAATGGATCGATACATCATCCCTAGCTAAAAGACAATAGATGCAAAAAATAAATAAAAGTGTAAAGTAAATAATTTTTTGAACGAATCAAATTCGATAAGGTTCATAACATCTTATACCATCCTAGGTTTTGGCTCTGTTTAATTTAGATAAAAGTTAAATTTTTAATAGATTTTGATAAAAAAAAAAACATAATAATAATGGAATATGTGGTTGAAAAGCTTTAAGTCTCATGAAATGTGTAGTTTAAATGAATTTTTGACTTAATATACATTTTAATCAATTTTTTTTAACTGAATCGAATAAGAGCTTAGTATACTGACTGTCGCAACCTAGGGCTTAGGTGTCATGCAGGTGCAGATAAATTTGACGTGTTTGATTAAGGATCGAGCCACTTAAAAAAGGACATCTTTAAATTATTGTCTTGTGGTTAAATTTATAATTTCGGATAAATACGGTCAATTAATGATGTTTTTAGAACAGGATTAAAGTAATGATTGAGTTGATCTAGGCTGGAATATAACAAAAACTAGAGGGTTGAGTTGGAGAATAAAAGGAATACTAGATTGGGTTAACGTTGGATTTGTCTTATTTACAACTAAGCCTCTTTGAAATTAATGATTGAAATAGAAATATTACTATTATGAACAAATGCATGATGATGATATGAACCTTGGTGACAGAGAAGCCACGTGTGTTGCAGAGGTGTCATCCAAATGGTCTGATGCGACCGTGTACAATTATTTACGACAATATTAACCTAAAAGGAATATCCCATTTTACATACCCACAACGTGGCTAGTAGCAAACCCACAATTTTCTGCTCAAACTGTATTATACAATTCTTCAATAAAATACATTTTTACAAAATATATTCTTAAAATTATATATTCACTTCTGTTTGTAAGATATTGGTTGAGGTGGGCCTATTTACGGCATAGCATAAACTTCCAAAATGAGAGAAAACTGCAGATAAATAATATTTTAAAGATATTAGCCCAAGTTTGGTATTGATTTAAATCAGATTTTAATCTAAATCAAAGTTAAACAATCAATATTAACCACATATTTTATGGATCCCACAACTTTTTAACCATACATTTCAAAAAATTTATCAAAAACTATTAAAAATTTAATTTTAAGAATAATTCTACTTGTACAACTTTGGATTACAACAATAGATGACAATCTCTCACAAGGGGGTGGGGCCCGAGATTAAAATAATCCTGGACCCCACCTCCTTGTGAGAGGTTGTAAAAGTGTACAACACCAAAGTGTTGTACATGTAGCATTGTTGATATTTACCCATTTAAAAGTAATTTTTTAAATTGTTTTTAGAGACACGTTTAGTACTATAAAAAAATCTAGTATGTTTCGTATGAAAGATATAAATATTCGAGTTTTCTCTACCGTCACTTCCTCTTTCAAGTTGAATAGACTTTTGTCGATAACGAAAAGATAAATCTTATATCAACTTCGAAGAGTCGGAAGCTCGTTAAGAAAATGCTATTTGAGTTCCACAAGTATATAATAATTGACAAAAGAGTTGCAATCTTGAAAAAGGTTTTGACAAACACATCCCAAAATGGAGAATAATCGAATATTTGAAAACGACGTGAAACTAGTAGAAAACCATAGGAATTTGAGTTTCCCATTGTCTACGCTATTGGAGTCGTTGATTACTTAAAAATTAGTTAAGAGCTAATGCAAATAGCTTAATTTTATCAGATGTGTTGTCAAAAGAGTGGATTAGTGGACTAAACTAATCAATTATTAATAAATTATACAAAGATGGATCACACAAGTTTAGCTTCTCCCTCAATACTTTTCAACGTTCAATCTAAAAACGTAAACTAGTACGCACATACAATTAAAACATTGCCTTCAATACATATATGATATATCTTGTTTAATTGCCATTAATCCTAGATGAGATCGTTTTCCATCTCTTTTATTTTTAGGATCCATTTGATAGCATGAAATACCATGAAAAATGTCACATCTGAGAAAAACGAATTCCACTTTGTTCGTTTGATTGCAACGTGGAAATGGAAATTGAATTCCNAAAACGAATTCCACTTTGTTCGTTTGATTGCAATGTAAAAATGAAAACCGAATTCCAAGGTACAACTACTTTAAGCTGTATTTTCTTTATTTTCATAAAAAAAGGAATTCCTATAGATTTCGTGAATTTTTATTTTCCAACATGTAATTAAACTTCATTTACACGTTTGTCTATCATACGAACCCTTATAGATTATGTAGGTCGAAGAAGGAAGAAGGAAAATAGAATAGAATATTCACATTGAATAATATCTGCCCATGGACTCTTTTTTCAATCACGTATTCTTCCAATAAAATAATTTTGAACGTGAATTATTAACTTTTCTTTACTTTTTTAACCACATGTTCTCGGAAAAAAAAAAAAACTTCTCACAGAATCAGGTACCACCTTACTGAACAGCCATATGCGATGGAGCTGAATCATACTGAAATGGTTACTACAAAGAGGTTGTCAAATCATTAAACAATAAGTAACAAATTTCAGCAAAACAGTTCATCTACGGAATCCTCAAAGAAATTTTATCCGGACTAAAATAAGATAAACTGAAAGCCAGCCACAGGTGACAGGATTGCCTACGGTGGCATCAACCGTTTATTTTTATCTTCACTCGTGAAGCTACACTGAGTAGCGATGTTTGGCATTTCTGTCGAGCTTCTTTGCATCGTCCTGCATTACAAGTTACAACAGCAGGTCAGTTACTGAACCCCAGGGAAAGGTATTGTTTGGATTAAGCTATATTAAATAGGTGATAATGAACACATTTTAGTGCTTACATGCAATCGAAGCTTTTGACTTTAAAAAAAAATGTTTTTGGATATGAATCAATGTGCTGATAAACATGAAGATATACTTATAAGCTATAAATAAACCAAATTACCAAAACATATTACATATGAGTAAATATCATTTTTAATGTTGGAGAATAAGTCATATTTGAATTTCTACAAACATACGAGATTCAAGATGACTTGTTCTATTATGGCACAACCACTTTTTAAAAGAATATCATGAATTCTTGCATTCAATTTCATTCACCATACTATTATTCAATCACTTACTGTACGCACACTCACCATAGCAGTTCACAAGCACAATGTATTTCAGCCCTCTATAAGTAAACTGGTGATAATTAAAAGGAATGTCCAGGAAAATTATATTGACAGTAGAGGAAGATGGGAGGACAGGCTAGGGACGGTGGAGGAAAATGAGGAGTGAGGGATTGGGGGGCCGGGTTGGG